TGTGATATGTAAAAATAAAAAGAATAAATGGTATTTTCATCCGAAAATTAGTCCATGTAACATTTTTGTGAGCCAAAACATGTTTGTGACTTTTTGTATTTAGAAAGTAGTTTTTATGACTTTTTTGTAATCTTCTCGAGAAAAAAAATGCATTGATCTTGTTCTCAACAAAAATATAAATATTATCAAAGGTTACCTTTCAATGAAAAGGGGATGTAGCTCAGATGGTAGAGCGCTCGCTTAGCATGCGAGAGGTACGGGGATCGATACCCCGCATCTCCACTTTTCATTTTGGTCTTTTACATTTATCCAACATGTTTTAGAATTGTGCAGATACACTGAAAATCTCTAAAATCTCGAGAACAGTTGGATTACAGATTAGGGTTGGATCAATCTCTTCTTTATCCTTTTGCGTTTGCTAATTTCTGGAAAATGTGTTCGTTATCGATGCAATTATCATTCTTCCAATCATCATCTCGTCCTTCGTCGTCGTCTTTCTCACCCAACCATGAACCTAAACTCTCTACTACTTCCTCTGTGACCTTCCCCTCCAAATTGATGAAGAATTTGAGTTTGAAGAGTCGAAATTTGTATCTAAGTGTTAAAGCTTATGATGATTCTTCAAATAAACAGCCTTCTGATTCTTCTTCCACACCTCCCAATGGCACTCGGGTAAAAAAAAAAAGTGTTTTTTTTTGTCTCTGTGACACAATTTTTTGGGATTTATTTTGGATTTGTGGGTTTGATTCAGTTTCTTAGATTTGATTTTTGAGCAGCCCAGAAACAGGAGGGATATTCTATTGGAGTATGTCCAGAATGTTAAGCCGGAGTTCATGGAGTTGTTCGTTAAACGTGCTCCTAAACATGTAAGTTTCTTTCTGCTTTCATTTTCTTAAGTAGAGTTTGGACAAAGACCATTTAGAGTTTGAGCTCTTGTGTAATTGATATTCAGGTGGTTGATGCAATGCGGCAAACTGTGTCGAATATGATAGGAACGCTTCCTCCGCAGTTTTTCGCAGTTACAGTCACCACTGTGAGTGCCTTAAATCAATGGATTTGAAGCTTCAGAAGTTGTGTACTCTGTTTGTGGTTTATTGTGTTGATTGTATCATGGGTTTTTTAGGTTGCTGAGAACCTTGCACAGCTGATGATGAGCGTCTTGATGACTGGATATATGTTCAGAAACGCTCAATATCGTCTTGAATTGCAACAAAGTTTGGAGCAAGTTGCTCTTCCTGAACCACGTGATAAAAAGGTGACATCTCAAGGTTTCTAGAGAATTTCCCTGTAAATAGTGTAAATGCCGATGAGAGTTGGATGTTTCACAATCTTGACACTCCTTGCTTACTCTCTCTGATAAGCCTTGCGTTAAGCTGGTGTATGAGCATTGTAATTACTCCCAGGTCACTTGTGGTGGATTGTAACTACAGTTGAGTGAGTTAGAGCTAAGAGGTTACATGTAAGTTTAGGCAGAACGAGTTCGGGTACCCTGGATTGGTGCCGGATATTGGTTTGGGCATTAGTTAGAGAGTTAGAGATTTCTCCTGTAATCAGTTTCTTCTGTAGTGTTGTTCTCTGGTGAATTGAATAAAAAAGCAGTTTATCGGTTTGTCAAATTATATGTGACAATGGTTTTCTATTTTGATTAAGCCAGGAGGGTGATGAAAACTATGCACCTGGAACTCAAAAGAACGTTTCAGGGGAAGTTATCAGGTGGAATAACATCTCTGGTCCTGAGAAAATTGATGCAAAAAAGTATATCGAGCTTCTGGAAGCAGAGATCGAAGAACTCAACCGTCAAGTGGGAAGAAAATCTGCGAATGAGCAGAATGAAATTTTGGAGTATCTGAAATCTCTCGAACCCCAAAATCTCAAGGCATGAGAAATTCATCTAGTATTATATTTAGTTTCAATCATCATCAAATTTGTACCCAATTTTATATCCTCAGTTGGAATGGCGTTGAAATTGTAGGAGCTTACAAGCACGGCAGGTGAAGATGTTGCGTTGGCCATGAATACATTTATCAAGCGGCTTCTAGCTGTGTCCGACTCCGACCCAAAGCAAATGAAGGTTCTCTAATTATTTTATTAGCTGAAAAATTATTCGCGTCAGTATGTTTTTATAGGATGTGATGGTCACTTGACTGATATCTATGTTTTGGTGGTTTACACAGACGAATGTGACAGAGACAAGCGCAACAGAACTAGCAAAATTGTTGTATTGGCTAATGGTGGTGGGATACAGCATTCGCAACATCGAAGTCCGTTTTGATATGGAACGTGTGCTTGGCACTCAAGCCAAGCTCGCAGAGTTGCCTCCTGGTGAAATTATTTGAAGATCTTGATGTTGTTTTTTACACAAAGACCTCAGATTTCACATATCTCCTGATTATTATTGTAGAATGATCCAAACTTACTTCGAGGAGAAGATCTTGATGTTGTATATCTTCTTCCTCAAATCTTGCGAAAAATAGGCCAATGTTTCGAGCCAATTCTTTCTAGATTTTGGTCCGAGTTGGAGGAAAATGTGTTTTGTTTTTTGATTAATCGTGGAAGTTCCGAGTTTTTGATTTATAATCTCTTTCGGTATTGATGATTAGTGTGTTTAATGAGATTCAAATAAATTGTAGTTGTAACGTGTAAGCAGTTTGAGAATT